TCGCGGCTTGGCGACATGGTCGGACCCACGCCTCGGACCCTTCCTTGGCCAACAGCGGTCATCACGTTCTGTCTTTGGAAGTGTTGCGGTACTTGGGACACTACACTCATAAGCGTAGTGATATTCATTCTGGCAGCGATGGCATCTTGCCGTTCACTTGTGACTCAGAGATCGAGAGTTCTCGCGTTCGATGTAACAGAGGTCCATTGGTTCGGGACTTCCTGTTTTCTGTCGTCTCGTCGGACGATAGTTTGACGAGTTAGCCGGAGACTGTATAAGTCTGAATTCTTCTTGTTCCGCATACGCTATCACCTTTTCCAGCGTATGGAAGTCCTCTCGGAACATGTAGGTCTTCACCGGCCCATCAAGAAGGCCGTAGATGAACACGTTGATGAGCGTGTGCTCATCAACAGGGTTCTTTGTAACGCTACTCGCAAGGTAGCTCAGGTGATGTGCGTAAGCGAGCACGTCACGCTTACCTTGCTTTAGCCTCAAGAGTGCAGAGCGTGCTCTAAAATTGGCTCTCGGCGGCTCAAACGTCTCTATGAGCCGATACTTTGAAATCTTTAACGACTCAAACACGTTTGGGTCGTGAAGCTTGAGCCCTAAGGCCCAAGTCTTTGCTAGTCCTGTCAAATTTGACAGGAAGAAGGTGACTAGCATCTCGTCACTCTCGATGTGACGGGCCCTGATGGCTTCGTATAACTCGACGAACCATTTCAAAAGGGAATCTTTCATCGGTTTCCTTGTACCTTGAGATGTCAATCTTCAAGGCTTTGGGTCGATGTGTGTGCGTCGGACCGCCCTTCGACTGATGAGAGCCTTGCTGCAATAGCAAGGCTGTCTTTTGTCGTTCGACGGCAAGTTCCCCTTGAAGGAACTTGTTGATAGCAGCATGTTGCTGGTCTCTGCTTAGAGACTTCAACATACCACTGAGTGCGGGTTCGCCCATGAGCACACTCATGCGGCCGACTACCTCCCATTCTGAGTCCCTCAGATGGGAGTAGCCTTCACGCGTGACCTGAAAGCTGTAGTCTTCTACTTCCAACATGTTCCATGTTGGACGGACACTAAGTTGTCGTTGGACGGACTACGAAGTGCCACCAGGTGTAATGGGGCACCCTATGCTTGGGGTGCCGCGAAACTTCACGTACACTAGTACGTGCAGAGAAAGCTAATGTACTTGAATGACTCGGTCAAGTAAAGGTAAAAGAGAACTGTGATTAATCTAGTAAAGCTATCAACATAACTTTAATCTTTATCTAACTATAGTAAACTACGCCGTCGTATGACGACAACCTGCTCACCACTCATTGCGCGCGTCTAGCAGCGATTGGTGGCAATCTATGGTTGATGTATCTTATATCAGCCAATCTTGGAGCGGTGCATGAATATCATCCAAAAGGGGGAATTTTTACTTCAATTTTATCCATCTCGGATAGTATCTGTAGAATATTGTCTTGCTAGACGAAATTCCTATTGACACCTTTTGATGTCAATTTCATGTAACGGGCTAGCCCGTTACAAATCAAGTTTAGTTCCCCTTTTTGAAATGTTGGACACGAGTGCCTAGTAAAGGCGTAGTGTGTTGTAAGAGCATTAGCCTTGTCAAGGCGTTTACTCTTGTTTACCAGTAGTGACTAGTTAGTGCGTAATTCTGTTAATCGTAATCCCTTCGGAATCAATATTGTTCGGCTTGTACGCTTTCACGACTGTACGTCGTTGTTAGTTCGTTATTACAAAGCGACTTTTTGAGTCGAAGACTTTCTCTGTTGGAGGGCGCAAAGTAACTTTGTTACAGGTCCACGAAGACGAGGAGCGCAAGGCACACAAAATCGGATCATTCCTTTCTAAATTGGTTAACTGGGCGCCAGTAGAGAGTCGGATTGGCCCAGTAAAATGAGCGGATTGCACTACAACATTGAATCATAATTTTTTTTAATAGCTTAAGAATTAATGAAATTGTGATGCAGAACTATTATCCTGCTTAGTAGTTGATTTTGATAATTAATGCTAACCATAGAAGTTGCATCCTTTTAGAAAAATGCAATTCGTGCTGAGCAAATTTTTACAATGCATCTAATTAAGTAGACATCCTTCAACGAAGACTAGATTTGTCTTTTGACTGGGTACAAAAAAAACCAAGTACGGTTCTACTTTTACGCTTTGTCTGTCGTTGATACCCTTTCTCTGCACGCCGCGTGTACGTTAATTTTCGAAGCATCTACATGCTCTGTGTTCAGTGTAAGCAGCTTGTACTATGATAGTATAAGCAACCGGTGCCCCAATACAACTTTAAATATAAGATGTGGCCATTGTTTGTTCCAGGGGGAGAAATTTCTTGCGAAAAAAGGGAAGGCTAAACGCCACTCGTCATTAATTGCATAATCAGTCATTTACTAGATCCATTCCACGTGGCCCTTGAAGGGGCACCATTGTCAAGCGATTGATTACTGGAGAAGGTTGTTAAGTAATGGTAGGAAATGGTGCATTGATACTATTTTAATTTGTTCAGAAGAGAAATAAAATATAGGATGGAATTTAAAAACTAATTGTGCAAAAGGTTTGCAAATCAGGTCTGGTAGAAAGTTTAAAAATGTTAGATTATAACACAGGGTGTGATTTATACGAAAAGGGTGTCAATAAAAGGTCAACTTTTCTCAACTAATTAGTTCAAGGAAGGCGTGTAAAAGAAAGTAATCATTTATTTGATACCTAATCAAAAGAGGATAGTTATTTTTTTTATTTATAGATTATGATTGTGAATTTTAATTTCTTATTCTAATTAATTTTAGAACTAGGTAATAATACATTTTAATAAATTCACTCAAAGGTAATAGATGCAGCTAGAGGTAAAGACAAAAGAATATGAAGATGAAAAGGCACAGTTTAATTCTCTCGTGGTAGAAGTCATTTTAGTTTTGCAACAAATATGAATCAATATTCAAAAAAATCTAAATTTGCTTAAAATGTTCCTACTCGAAATCGTTAATTTTTTTTTCGCGCCCTTAGCGTCTACCTTTACATTTTTTAGGCTCCTTTTGGCGTCGACTCCTTTATTCAAGATATTTGTCCACGCATCGATGAGCCTCATAAAAAACCATCTTAAAGACAACGATACTGACGTAGTGAGTGACTTTCTCTCCTCTTGGTTGGACGACGGGACGTCCACGAGCGTAGACGTGCCGTGAAGAACACCGCTCCCTTGTTTTGCACTCGTGGTCGCATCACCTGCAGTACGAAGAGCGCGTCGGGCATGATCAGACTCAGTCGGCACGGCGATTGTCGAAGATGTCGAAAGTGCAGCGACGAGTGCGGACACAACGGCGAATGACGAGAGCAGGAGGCGCATGGGTGAGACAGAAGTTCTTGGGACTTGCGAGCTTGATGGCAACTTGGTTTGTGAAAAGGTGCCAATGTCTTAAGCTTAGGTCCTTGTCTCCTCGCATTGCGCTCCATTCATTTGATGTAATCGTGCCGTCGGGACCAACGATCAACCAGGCACAGAAACCGGACACGCAGCTGAGCTACGACCCATCACTTTGACTGCGCTTGGCTTCAATGCAAACTGGCCTGTGACAGCGCCAGGGATTGTTCCTCAGACAATGATTACTGACTGGCTAGCCACCACGCCTCGGCAGACAGCCAGGTTAAGCTGAAATTGCCTCATTCGTAACCACCACTGATTTTCATTTGGTTCACCTCGAAGCTCCATGACTGCCTTCCAAAGTATCATTTTTGTGTCGACTACCTCGGGTCACTCAAACAGTTTTCGAAACCATGACTAGCGGCCACAACTGTCCGAACTAGGACCACCGATCAGACCGAATATACCCAGCAGATCATGGCTTCAGTGCAGACAATGACTTCCAATCAGACCACGACCAGCCTGCATGTCGATGCATCTGATTTTTCACACCGGACATCGTCGGCCGCCACACTGGGCTGGCCACCGAAGAGGCATACGCAGCTGCGCATCGCTCGTTGCACCGTTTCGCTCCTACAATATGGCAAGCCAGTCTTTCCCCGATGTCAGAACTGGTTCTGTCCTCTCTACGCGCATGACGATTCTTCTTCCAGAAAAATCTACTGCTGCCATCGGATTGGCTGCACATGATAGCGGACAAGCCGGTTTCAAAGCTTACCCACTTCGCCAGATGCAGGAGCCAGGCTGGCGATCAGGCTGGCGATCAGCCAGCCAAAGTCCTACGTGTCTTTATCTACGATTGGAAGCACAGGACGCAATCCGTGTGTTCGTTCTTTTCATGCGCTCGTTCAAAAGACATCGAGACTGACGGCGCCACGCGGCACTTTGTCGCATCATTAGGCTTTGACCAGCCGTTTTCCGTTACTCCCTCGCAGGAACTTTCAACAAGCAATGAAGCCCGACACTGTCCTGACCTTGATCGAGGAATAGTAATGTGAACTTGCGTCCTAGTTCTGGACGCAAAGGCTCCGATCGATATACGTTACTATAGTGAATGTAAGGAGCGCGCATGAACAAGAGTATGCGGTAGTTGAGATCACGCGGTCGTTCAGATGCTCTATTCATATCAATTTGCCATCACTTGTCACATGACTTCCTAGCGCTACTAAGCATTGACATCACCTTCGTGGAAGACTCAGAAGTCGATCGCGCGTGTGTGTGAGTGGCCTCTGCATGTAGACGCGGCTCACTCGCTTCTCGACACCTGCAGACCCGATGACACTGGCTAGCGAGCTCGACCATGATACGAAGTGTGCGGAGGGATGCCAACCCATCTGGACATTTCGAGCGCGCACGCTCTTATCCCACATGCTCGATAATGCCCGAGCAAGTCCCTGCTTCGGATGTAGTAAAAACGAAACGAAGCGTAGGCGTTGTCGCTGCATCCCCCGAGTTCGTGCAGCAACCGTAGTGACTCCACGATCGACGTTATAGTGCAGCGTCACGGACGTCTCCACCTCCGATGGTACAGATATGAGCACATGAACGCCAAACGTCAAGGCATTCGAAACCGATGGGAGCCAAGACTAGGAAATGGATGGCCCGACCACGTCGCAGCGTTCTAGGGCACGAATCGATGAGGGCTGATTCTGGTGGCAACGTGGAAACCGCGAGCTTGGAACTGGACGGATGGAGCCCGTTGGCTGCCAAACGTTCGTCGATAATCGCGTCGGGTCGCTGTCGCGCGTGTCTACGAGGTTTCAAGATAACGGGACTGTGTCCAGAATGGCTGGGTAATTTCGTTGAGATCAGACTGGTCGCTGCAGCCTATGGAAGTGGATGTATGATTATTGGGGAGAGCATTGTGCATATCGCGATTTGTATCGATCTTTCTGTCTCCTTGTCGTTCGTGACGTCCGGCATGATCCAGACGACACGAGTCATGGCTCAAATAATTCCGGACGTCTTCACAGCTGTGCTGCCTTGTCAGAAGGTGGGCTATGAATCGTGGAGCAAGGTCATATCGGTAGGCCATATACGTGAGACAGGATAATTTTTGTTGGTCTACGTACGCTGCCTCTAAAGTCGATCCCTCCTACCCTCAAGAAACAGCGTCTGGAATGAAGACTTCATCTTAAAAATCTAGATTTACCAACACAATTGTGAAGTAAGACTGAGTCATGGCAGTTGACATGCGGTGGTTACCACACAACCAGACTTCTTATTAGTGATAAGTAGCTGTAATAGACAGTCTGAGCCTCTCTCCAAAACAATTGTAAGACGGCTGACGTGGTTAAGGGAGGTACCAGATATCTATTGCTCTGGAGAGCGGTCAAGACATGAGTCTCAAGGCCGCTCGATACACCCAAGAAATGGCGGGATCACTCTCGTTTTCTTGAGACAATGTATCACCCCTTGCACAGACTCGAGTGCCGCGTGTTTGTGGTTGCGCAAGTGCTGTAACGGGGTGAATCGTTACATAACAATTTATAAGAAATTGTTAATAGAATATAACTATAAGAGTTATATTCTCAGAATATTGTCATAAGGACAAATATTCTCAGAATATTGTCATAAGGACAAATATTCTCAGAATATTGTCATAAGGACAAATATTCTGTAGCACTTACAAGTAGTTCCTAATTGGTTGATATAGGCCATTATATCAACCAACGAAGACGCGCCACGACAGACGCACGCAATGAGTGGTGAGCAGATAACTGATTTACACATTTGTATTTAGACATAGTTAGATGAAGATAAATAGTGATTTATTGCAGACATTAACTATTATAAATACAGTTCTACTTTTTACTTTAACCAAGTACTCGCTTCTTCTTACCGTCTTCCTCTGCACGTACGAGTGTACGTGAAGTTCCGAGGCACCGCCTTATTCTGTCATCAGAATAAGTAGCTTGTACTGTCACCAGTACAAGCTTCAGGGTGCCCCGTTACACCTGGTAGCACTTCGTAGTCCGTCCAAGGACCGCGTTCACATCTAACATGAATTTGTTGGATGATGAAGATGACCAAAGCATTCACGCTACGCGTGACGGCTACTCCCATTTGAGCGATGTCGAATGGGATGCGGTTGAACGAATGGGTTCGACCATGGGCATCCATGCTGTTAGCGTCATGCTAGAGGCTCTCAATAGAGATGCCCAACATGCTACTATCGCCAAGTTCATTCAAAATGAACTTGACGCAGAACGCGAGAAAGTAGCCTTGCTTCACCAACAAGGTTCTCAACAAGCAGAGTTGTTGAGAGAACAGGGTGCTCAACAGTTTGAACTGTTGAGACAGCAGCAGGCTGCTGCTGGCGGGTCGATGCACTCGCGTCGACCCGAGACTTTGAAGATTGACATCTCAAAGTATAGGGGGGTCGAAGAAGACTCCCTCTTGAGATGGTTCGTCGAATTGGATGACGCCATAAGGGCGCGTCGCATCGACGACGGGGATATGCAAGTTGCATTTGCCCAGTCAAATCAGGCAGGACGTGCCAAGACTTGGGCACTGGGGCTCAAGTTGCACGACCCATATGCGTTTGGGTCGTTGGAAGTCTTCAAGTCGCGGCTCAGACAAACGTTTGAACCGCCTAGAGCTGAGTTCAGGGCTCGAACCGAACTCTTGAAGCTCAAGCAGGGTAAGCGTGATGTGCACGCTTACGCTCAACATATACGACATCTCACGAGTTGTATAAGTTCCAATCCGGTGGATGAACACACGTTGGTTTCGGTGTTCATGCAGGGTCTTGCGGATGGTCCCGTCAAGACTCACCTGTTCCGGCTTGAACTAGATTCCCTAGAACAAGCCATTTCCATTGCGGAGCAGGAAGACTTCAGTCTGAGACAGGCTCGCGCCAGCTCGACATCATATCGTCAACCGAGGCGATATGACAACGGAGGTCCAGAGCCGATGGAACTCTGTTATGTAGAGAGCGAGAAGGCTCGCTCTACAGGCTACAAGAAGTTGCAGAGATGCAACAGATGTCAAAAGACAGGACACTACGCTTACGAGTGTAGTTCCCCTCGTCCAGTGTCTCGCAACACTGGGCGTAGTGACCGTCCACCCATGAGAAAGGGGCAGGGACGAGGGTCCGCTGTTGGAGCAAAGACGCAACAACGGGATGGACCGTCAAAAAACGGACAGGATCAGTAGGTGCGGAGCACCCTACTGGTCTAGCAACGTCAAGAGAATTTGTAGGCCTCTTGATGAAGGTTGCTCCCAACACACAAACGTTGTGCGTTGCTGCTCTAGGTAATGAGGTCTCACTCATTACCTTGAAACTCGAAGTGACGAATAAGTTGTCCCTTCGAGCTCTAGTTGATTGTGGGGCGTCCAACAATTTTGTGCGACGCCAATCGCTAGAAGATGGTCACTTTAAATTCAGTGAATGTGACACACCTCCTACGAGGATGACGGTACGTCTTGCGACAGGCGCATCCGTAACCGTCATGAAGCGTATAGTGAAGATCCACTATACGCTAGAATATAACCAATATGACGATGACTTTATCGTATTGGATTTGGATGACAAATTTGATGTCATCCTTGGAATACCGTGGCTCAGAAGGTACGGACCACGAGTAAACTGGCAACATCGGACAGTAACGATGCCTGCCGCTTGCTTATCAGATGGCCATCTGATGAACGTTTTGGAGCGTCTACAAGCGTGTGGATGCACTACGAGTTGAATGCTGCAACGGTACCGGCTCAGACGCCGATACCGAGGAAGGACGTAATCATTGATGGTATGTCAAAGAGTACCATCTTTTCGTCCATGGATTTGATGGATGGTTTCTATCAAATCCTTATGCGAGAACGGGATGTACCCTATACCGCAGTGAGCACGCCTAGCGGCATGCTCTGGGAATGGCTAGTAATGCCACAAGGGCTCAGTAATGCCCCTGCCACGTTCAACAGGTGTGTATCACATCTGTTGAGACCAGTACGAGAATTCGCGCCGAGTTATTTCGATGACGTATTCATCCATAGTCGAGCTATGGATGGAAAGTCGGACGTTGAGGTTCACAGGTACCACGTCCGACAAGTTCTTACAATCATGCGAAAGCATCAATTGTATGCTAACCTCAAGAAGTGTATATTTGCAGCAAGCGAAATACCACTTCTTGGGTGCATCGTTGGTAAGAACGGTGTACGTCCTGATCCCGAAAAGATCAAGGCGATCACCGACTGGCCTGTGCCGGTCGATGTCAAAGGTCTTCGAAAATTCCTTGGGCTAGCGGCGTATTTGCATAAGTATTCACGCAATTACGCCGAGATGACTGTGCACCTCTCTCGTTTGTTGAAAAAGAACGAGAGGTGGTTATGGAACGCTGAATGTCAACGCTCCTTTGAGGGTATCAAGCAGAGCTTGATACAATCCCCAGTCCTAGCAATAGCCGATCAGGACAGGCCATTTCATGTGGTCTGTGATGCCAGCGATTTCGCAATCGGCTGTGCATTAATGCAGCACGATCTTGAAGGCGTTGACCGCGTCGTCTGCTATCAGTCGCGTCAGCTGCAACCAGCTGAGCGGAACTATCCAGTGCATGACAAGGAACTCCTTGCCATGAAGTATGCACTCGCGAAGTTCAGAGTCTATCTATTAGGAGATAGACCCTTCGTTGTTTACACTGACCATGCGTCATTACGCACGGCAGTGAACAGCCCGCACCTTTCACAACGAATGGCGCGGTGGTTGTCATTCTTTGCAGAATACAACTTTACGGTTGAGTACAAACCAGGACGACTTAATGTCGTCGCTGATGCACTCTCACGTCGTCCCGACTTTGAAACAGTCGCGAAACCCAACAGTGAGACAGTCACTGTTGCGGTTATGACGTCCTCAGTCCCATCTACAACGTTGTATGATGATGTGAGGCGGGCATACGCCCAAGATGGTGAGATAGTGAAGTTGTTGACACATCTCTCCCAACCATCTCGAGAATCGTTGAAACGATTGTCGTCTGCGTATCGATCTGCATCAGATCGATACACTGCTCGTAACGGTTTACTGTATTATACAGCCGTTTCTGGTGACACACCACGTGTTGTCATTCCAGATGATACTGATCTGCGTTTGCGGATCATGTTCGAGTATCACGATGCTCCTATAGGAGGACATCGTGGCCGAGAGAAAACATATCTCACGGTAAGTCGAGACTTTTACTGGCCCCGCCAGTATCAGTTTGTGCGAAAGTATGTTCGCGCATGCGAAGTCTGTCAACGAGTGAAGTCAAGTCCTTCACTGCGTGCACCTTTACAGCCTCTACCGGTTCCGGCTGAGTGCTGGGAATCCATCTCAATGGATTTCGTCTTCGGGTTACCCGAAGACGCACGCGGGAATACAGATATCCTCGTATTTGTTGACAGATTCAGCAAAATGGTACACCTAGTGGCTGTAACAGAGACAATCACAGCAAGTGGCTGTGCTAGTGTCTTTATTGACACCATCTTCCGACTTCGTGGGTTGCCCCGTGAACTCGTATCAGACAGAGATCCACGATTCACTGCTGATTTCTCGCGTTCTGTGTTCAAATCACTCGGAACGCGCTTGAAGATGTCGACATCTGATCATCCAGAGTCAGATAGTCATACGGAACGAGCCAATCGTGTCCTCGAAGAGATACTTCGAGGATACGTACACTCCTTTAAGGGTTGGAGTGAGTTCTTGCCACTGGTAGAGTTTGCCATTAACAACTCCGTGCATGCGTCCACGACACATACACCGTTTTACGTGAATGGCTTGCGCAATCCTCGTGTACCCACCTTACTAGAGTGTAACTCTGGTTTAAGGGGGGAGGGACTCGCGCGAGCAAAAACCGAATTGGTTCACGCTCATCACGCTCTGACGAAGAGGTCATTGCGTTTGATGCCAATATCGATAACATCGATATCGAAGAAGATGATGCCAGTGAGAGCGCGGAAGCCCTCACTGAAGGAGATGATGCCAGTGAGAGTGCGGAAGCCCTCACTGAAGAAAAGGTTGATGTTGCTGCAGTGCGCTCACAGCACACTGAAGCAAACGAGTCATCAGATGAGTTCATACTGGCTCGTGAAACGGTAGTCCGTTTTGTGCAAGATTCCATAGCCGAAGCGGTGGATAAGCAAAAGCAAAACGCTGACAAGAATGGAAGGGCAAGCACTCTTTTATTAAATAAAGGTGACTTAGTCCTACTGTCTACGGTTAATCTACCAAAACATGTAGTGACTAACTTGGGTAGCAGTAAACTACTACCCAAGTACATTGGCCCATTTCGTGTATTGCACCGCCTAGGCAATGCATACACGATCGAGTTACCACGTAAGATGCGAACGCATCCCACGTTTTACGTTGGTCGGCTTAAGCCGTACCATCAGTACGCTGCTTCTTCCGATGAAGAACGCCCTTGCGCTCAAGCATCTCGCAGAGAGCCTTGTGCTCCCGATGGTGGGCATCAACAAGGGTCTGAAGAGCAGCTATCTCATCCCGAGACCGATCAGCAATCCCACGAGCTACCCTTAGCTCGTCACGAAGAGATGTCAGAGATCTCTCGTTCTCAAGCTGAGCAAAGGCAAACTCAGCTCGATGCTTCGAGGCAGTGTCCGCCATTTGGAGACGCCTATTCCGCTCATGCTCGAGATCGTCGCGTAACCCTTGCGTTACGCGATCAAAGAAGCTCTCGGGAACACACCGATCCACATGATCGTGTGGAGATCGTCTTTCCTCCTCCTCCACCTCCATTAGAGGACTCTCGCGGTGGCCAGCGATATCTAGTTGAGCAGCTGTTGAACCACCGCGACGTTAACGGACGTCGGACGAGTTATCTCGTCCGGTGGCGCGGCTATCCCCCGTCCTGGGATTCTTGGGAGCCCCGCTCCCAACTGATGATCGACGTACTGGGTCTGGTTGAGCAGTACGACGCGGCACATCCTGTGCCGCAGAAGGACCGCCGGAGAAAGTCTTCCCGGCACGGTCGTAAAGGGATTTCAGGTTGTCAATCCCTTCGTACAACTCAGTAGAGACACGTACGCGCCACCACGGGCTGGTAAGGAGGTAAGCCTCCTTAGGTGCTCGTGCAGAGTTGTTCACACAACATGGGCACGAGTCTCCCCAAGAGAGGCAGGGTAATCCTTTCTCCCTTGACAGACGATGCAGCTTGTAGCGTGCACCTGTCGGGGTTCGCTTTTCAAACTTATCACGAGCTTTGATAAGTTTGTCGTTCCTAGCGTCACGACCTACATCCTCAAGGTTATGGATGTAGGCGTTCCACGCCTGAAGTAGTGAGGGACCATCACGTTTGTGATTCCCACTGTACCATCGATGTCTAAAGAAAGCATCGATGAAGAATTCATTTACAGCGCGATAGTCTTTCGCGCTGGGGTCAAGGTGATGGATCCTTGACGAATCGAACAACCGTGTTCGATAACGATCACTCGTCGTCGCCGACAAGTGATCCATGACGGATTTTGGAGGCATCCATGCCTTCTCCTCGGGAGCGAGACGCAAGACATTGCGGTCCCGCTCTTCCTGCGACGTGCCGACAGAAGTACTGGCACCTCGCTGTGAAGTGGTATCCATAGGAGAACCGACACCACTATTAGCGCCCGAGTCTCGCGACCTCGAGCGCCTTCGCTTCGGCGATGGTTCATCTGATTCATCAGATGAACCAAAGATGCTGCGACGCAAAGCATCATCCATGCCACGCTTGGCAGGCGGCTTGGATTCAATCGCCGTCGATACGGATCCATCATCCGTATCAGGAGAGTACGAGACACCGAGCTCGTACTCTGTGAAGACATGAGTGTCTTCATGACCAGCGCCTGCATCACCAAGTGACACAGGCAGGGTCGCTTCAGCAACCGATGGGACATCAGTTGCTGTTGTTTCTGCTTCGGCGTCCGCACAGAGACGTGCAGACGCGCTCTCGGCGGCCTTGCTCGCGCATCGCATGGGCTTGTTAACCATGCGATGGAATGTTGGAAAGTGGACGCGGACCAACAAGTGCAAACCCCGTCCCAAATGATTTGGGACGAGTATCCATTTAGTCAATCAGTCACTAAAGTGACTGATGGTTAAGGGGGGGGGTGATGTAACGGGGTGAATCGTTACATAACAATTTATAAGAAATTGTTAATAGAATATAACTATAAGAGTTATATTCTCAGAATATTGTCATAAGGACAAATATTCTCAGAATATTGTCATAAGGACAAATATTCTGTAGCACTTCCAAGTAGTTCCTAATTGGTTGATATAGGCCATTATATCAACCAACGAAGACGCGCCACGACAGACGCACGCAATGAGTGGTGAGCAGATAACTGATTTACACATTTGTATTTAGACATAGTTAGATGAAGATAAATAGTGATTTATTGCAGACATTAACTATTATAAATACAGTTCTACTTTTTACTTTAACCAAGTACTCGCTTCTTCTTACCGTCTTCCTCTGCACGTACGATTGTACGTGAAGTTACGAGGCACCGCCTTATTCTGTCATCAAAATAAGTAGCTTGTACTGTCACCAGTACAAGCTTCAGGGTGCCCCGTTACAAGTGTAGTTGGTGCCGTCGTCTCCAAGAAAGTCAACAACTAGTTTCCTTTGTCCTTTGAAGTAGGCTGTCTTACAGCTCGATTAGTAGCCCATAGGCTTGGTACACATTACAACATGGCGAGCTCTAGCTGCGAGACGCTACTTGCTACTACAGTAACCAGTGAGTACGATGCCGCTCATGCGCTTGCTTGAACCTATACTGACTAGAGCGACCATTCTGCCTTCAAACCACGTAAATAATGCCCACGGTACCTCCTGGGCCCCAAGGTCGTGGAGTCACTCACGAATATAATACTAATTCCTGCACGCGCTGCTATCCCTTTCTTCACGATCCGCTGCGTCAGGTGACGCTGCTGACTCCGATCGTTGCCATCACTACGAGCTCACCTCAGAGAAGAATGTTCGTGAATCAAGCATCGATAGACGAGATCCAGTGTAGTCTTGGGCGTGCAAGAACAATAAAGATGCGACCTCTCTCTGTTGATATTGATGTGCGCAGGCGAAGGCAAATTGTGAAGTGAATATATTTATGGTCCTTAGTTCGTAAACTTGCTTCGCTACCTCTAAGCCACTCATTTCCTATACTTAGACAAACTATATCAGTCCCACTGATTTAGCTAGACCAATGAACACCCTTCGATCTTCTCAAGATCTTCTAGAAGGTTCACTGGTTTATCTAGACCAATCAACACCCTTCGATCTTCTCAAGATCTTCCAGAAGGTTTAAGAAGCTCTCCTTGTGACGTCACCCGATGACGTCATGCTGTGCTTCTTCTCAGCCAGTCCTTCTCGATTCTTCCAAACCTATCCATGAACATAAAAGCAGTAGACGGTGCTATGTTAACACTCCCACTCACCGCTATTGCTAAATGCCCTTGGGTCCAATGCAGCTTGCTTGTATCAAATAGTTCAGTCGCTTGGTCCCCAGAGCCTTCGTTAGCATGTCGGCCAATTGGTCCATGGTGGAGATGTACTTGACCATGATGATATCGTGGGCCACATTCTCCCGGATGAAGTGGTGACGAATGTCAACGTGCTTGGTTCTGACATTGTAGCTGGCATTGCTGGCAAGCCCAATTGCTCCTTGATTGTCTTCCCAGACCCACGTTGCTCCCACTTGCTCGTGACCTAGATCCTTAAGCAGCGCACGAACCCATAACACTTCCTGTGTACACAGGCTTAAAGCCATGTACTCTGCCTCAGCAGAGCTTAGAGCCACCGTGCGTTGATACTTAGACTTGTATATGGCTGGTGCGCCACCGATGATCACCATTATCCCTGACACGGAGCGTCGATCATCGATGTTGCTACCCCAGTCCGCGTCCGTATACGCTGTAGCTGTTACTTTGCTAGCGCTGCCGTCGTAGATTATCCCGTAGTCTCTTGTCGTCTTGAGATACCGAAGAACACGAATGGCTGCCTTCCAATGTTGCTGACCTGGATTCTCCAAAAACCTTGATAACTGCGTGATGACATACATCACATCTGGGCGCGTACATGTCGTGATGTATAGCAAACATCCGATCAGCGACCTGTACGGCTTTGACTGCATTTCTGCTCTATCGACATCCGTCGTTGGGGATTGCTTCTTTGACAGCTTCAGGCCGGACTCGCATGGGTTGACCACTGTCTTTGCGTCCTCTTGATTAAAACGGCTTGCCACATCATCGATGTATCGAGTCTGTCGAATCATCAGCTTACTGCAGTTGTGGTCATGATCAATCTCCACGCCAAGAATAAATTTAGCCTTGCCTAGCTCCTTCATACGAAATGAGCTCTTGAGTGCTGTCTTGACCTCTTGAATCTCCCTGCTGGTCTTGGCGGCGATGATCATGTCGTCGACGTAGAGACAAACATAGACATAGTTGTCATCTTGATGCTTGACGTAGATACACTGATCTGCTCCGCTGCTACGAAATCCGATCTGTAAGAATACAGCATGGATTGTCTTGTTACACGCACTTGCAGCCTGCTTGAGACCGTAGATTGCCTTGTCCAACTTGCACATCATCTTCTCCGCATTAGCTATGCCATTTGGCACTTCCAGGTACACCTCTTCCTTTTGATCACTGTTCAAGAACGCCGTGTCTACGTCCAGCTGCTCAGTGACGTATCCCTTTGTCACCACCACAGCTAGCACAACCCTGATCGAGTTCATGTTTGCCACGGGAGAGTACGTCTCGAAGAAGTCGACACCGAATTTCTGCTTGAACCCCTTTGCGACGAGTCGAGCTTTGTAGCGCACCACTTGTCCGTGTTCGTTTCGCTTCTTAGCGAATATCCATCTGCACCCGATTGGTCGAATGTCTTGCCGTTTTTGTACCAGTGTCCAGGACCCGTTATCGGCGTGCGCCTTGAGCTCCGCTTGCATCGCTTGAATCCACTTGCTGTTGTCTTCGCCTTTTAACGCTTGGCTGTATGTTGATGGAGCGTCGTCCGCCTCGCCAACGCTTGCAGCATAGGCTAATACAGCCTCTGTAATGAGACCTTCGTCATCAATTCTTGCTTGCTTTGGAGAAGGTGGTCCATCGCTACCTTCTGACGTGTCTTCACTGCTATTCCCATTCTCAAGCAGCAGCATTCTGTCTCGTGAGCGTCTTGTCCGATTTATCTCCGGCTGAAATACCAACCTGTCCTCCTGAAAAGCTTGTCTAGGAGCTTGATATCCCGTTATCTCATCGCCTCTTGGTTCTTGAGTTTCTGGATCGAGTACTTGAGGTATGATGATACCTGTTTCGAATGGAGCCGATTCTATCTCGTCCATCTCGACATCAGGAGCGCTTTCTTCGACATCTTCCATCGTCTCGTCTCCATCATACGGACGAACCACCGGAATCACTGCTTCATCAGTGTCCCTAATATAATTGACGACTGGTACTTTATCTGGTACCACCGTGTCGTATATGCCTTCAACTTCCCGCTCGTCAAGCTTTACGGAGCGCGATATGACAACCTTCGACCTTTCCAGATTGAACACCCTGTATCCCTTGGTGTTCTCCGCATATCCGAGGAACATACACCGGTAACTCTTTGGTTCGAGCTTCGTCCTCTTGGCGTCGTCAATGTGAGCATACCCTTGCGATCCAAACACACGCAAATGCTCAATACTCGGCTTCATCTTGAAACCAACCTCGAACGGTGTTACGTCCGAATTTGCAGAGTTTGTGGATCTGTTGATCAAGTACACAGCCGTACTGACCGCCTCTGCCCACCACTGCATGTCGATACCCCTTGTAGTACAGCATGCTCCTTGCCTTCTCCATGATAGTGCGATTCATGCGTTCCGCAACGCCGTTCTGTTGCGGACTATATGGTACTGTCCGCTGGTGCATGATACCATTACGGGCGCATATATGGGCAATCTTCTTGTTGACAAACTCCGTCCCGTTATCCGACCGTATACACTTCAAGTGCTTGCCCCATTGATTCTCATAGAAAGCCTTGAACTCGCTAAGCCTTGCGGCCACCTCGCTCTTGTGCTTCATGAAGTACGCTGCCACAAATCTTGAGTAGTCGTCTAGAAATGTCAATACGAATCGTGCACCACCCTTTGAGACCGTCTTCATCGGTCCCATCACGTCCGTGTGTACTAGTTCCAACACACGTGACGTCCTTGTTAGCGATTGAGACGGGAATGTATCGATCGTCAGCTTGCCCTTCATGCATCCACTGCACAGCTTCTAGATGCCCTGCTTTACCTCCGGCATACCACTCGTAGCGCGCTGTGTCTTGTCCATACCAGATCTTCCGGGGTGTCCCAAGCAAGCGTGCCAAAGCTCCCACTCACTTTCAGCCCCTGCGTATTCTACAAGCCGGGCTTCTTCTTGTTCGCAATCCAGGAAGTACGCCTTGCCAATCTTCTTGCCGCTTGCAATCGCGTGCTTGGCACTCCAAATGATGCAGGACGAGCTTTGAAACTCCACCCTCATGCCTCGTCCTGCCAGTTTGCCAACGGACAGCAATCGTTTGTCAAGTCCTGGTATGTGCATGACATCGACCATCATGATCCGTCGACCGTCTAGACCTTTCAGCTTGACTGTTCCCACTCCAGCTACCTGCAGCTTCTTGCCATCAGCGATAGAGACTTGTTGACCAGTCTTCAACTCCTTGTACTCAAATAGATCGCTCCGATGTGGTGTCATGTGCGACGTAGCCCCGCTGTCGATAAGCCATTCTTCGCATTGCAACTCACCAGCAGCAAACACAGCACCTTTTTCCTCGCCATTGCTACGCTTCAGGCAGTCCCGCTTATAGTGTCCGACTAGACCACACTTAAAGCACTTGCCTTTAATTCCGGTGTTGGTTTTCCGTAGATAGTTTCCCTTGCGGCCGTTACCTTGGCCTCCCTTGAACCGTCTACCGTTGCTGCTTACAGTAAACGCCTTCTCCGTAGTCTCCTTCCTCTGCAATCGTTCATGCTCCTTGAGCAGCTTTTCCTTGACCTCGATGAGCGTAATGTCCTTGGAATTCTCTACAATTGACGAGATGAGCTCATAGTCCGTCGGAAGACTACTAAGCAGCACCACTAGCTGCCGAGAGTCATCGACTGACTCTCCAAGTGTCTGGAGGCCGACAACAAGCTCGTCAAAAGCATCCAAGTGCTTCGACAAGGTCGAACCATTCTCCATCTTGAACTCATGCAGACGACGTGTCATCTCGACACGATTGTGGAGCGTGGTGCGGCTGTAAAAGTCCCGCAAGATGACCCACGCGTGCATAGCTGTCGTCGCCAATCGTATCTTGGTCTGGTGCTGTAGCTCTATGCCTTGAGCGATGATACCCAGTGCCTTAGCGTCGTTGAACAGCCAGGCATCCGTCATCTCTTCTTCTTTCTTGATGACTTGAACGTGCACCAGCAGCCCCTTGCGCGCCAACGTCATGCGCATGTTATACTCCCAGTGGAAGTAGTTTCCACTACCCAGGAGGACTTCACACCGCTTGTTTGTCATGGTGGACGTGGTGGCTTGGCGGTTTGGAGCGCGTTGCGGCTGTTAACCTGTTGATATTGATGTGTGCAGGCGAAGGCAAATTGTGAAGTGAATATATTTATGGTCCTTAGTTCGCAAAATTGCTTCGCTACCTCTAAGCCACTCATTTCCTATACTTAGACAAACTATATCAGTCCCACTGATTTAGCTAGACCAATGAACACCCTTCGATCTTCTCAAGATCTTCTAGAAGGTTCACTGGTTTATCTAGACCAATCAACACCCTTCGATCTTCTCAAGATCTTCCAGAAGGTTTAAGAAGCTCTCCTTGTGACGTCACCCGATGACGTCATGCTGTGCTTCTTCTCAGCCAGTCCTTCTCGATTCTTCCAAACCTATCCATGAACATAAAAGCAGTAGACGGTGCTATGTTAACACTCTCTCACCTTGCAGCCTCGACAATTAGTGGCGATCGATATACGCAACCAAGTGTTCCTGGCCACTATTTCGGCATCCCTGCAATTTGGTCAGGTGGCTGCGGCAAAGCTTCAGATTCCGTTGGCTGTGTGGCGTGAACCCACGGTCGAGCTTCGTAGGCTTCTTTTCAACTCTCCGCGACATAAGTTTGCGCTGCCAGTTTGAGTAACTTGATTCTTCTCTTGATTCTAGCACGTAACTAGTTTCGGCATGTTGAAGCCGCTTAGCAAGGTACAGGATGTATTTGGGAGACCCGAAGAACTGGTACGTTACAGCCATGTGGACATTCAACGTCCAAGCACGACTAATGTTTTGGGAGAGTGCTTGTAACGGGGTGAATCGTTACATAACAATTTATAAGAAATTGTTAATAGAATATAACTATAAGAGTTATATTCTCAGAATATTGTCATAAGGACAATATTCTGTAGCACTTCCAAGTAGTTCCTAATTGGTTGATATAGGCCATTATATCAACCAACGAAGACGCGCCACGACAGACGCACGCAATGAGTGGTGAGCAGATAACTGATTTACACATTTGTATTTAGACATAGTTAGATGAAGATAAATAGTGATTTATTGCAGACATTAACTATTATAAATACAGTTCTACTTTTTACTTTAACCAAGTACTCGCTTCTTCTTTACTGTCTTCCTCTGCACGTACGAGTGTACGTGAAGTTACGAGGCACCGCCTTATTCTGTCATCAGAATAAGTAGCTTGTACTGTCACCAGTACAAGCTTCAGGGTGCCCCGTTACACCTGGTAGCACTTCGTAGTCCGTCCAAGGACCGCGTTTACATCCAACATGAATATGTTGGATGATGAAGATGACCAAAGCTTTCACGCTACGCGTGACGGCTACTCCCATTTGAGCGATGTCGAATGGGATGCGGTTGAACGAATGGGTTCAACCATGGGCATCCATGCTGTTAGCGTCATGCTAGAGGCTCTCAATAGAGATGCCCAACATGCTACTATCGCCAAGTTCATTCAAAATGAACTTGACGCAGAACGCGAGAAAGTAGCCTTGCTTCACCAACAAGGTTCTCAACAAGCAGAGTTGTTGAGAGAACAAGGTGCTCAACAGTTTGAACTGTTGAGACAGCAGCAGGCTGCTGCTGGCGGGTCGATGCACTCGCGTCGGCCCGAGACTTTGAAGATTGACATCTCAAAGTATAGGGGGGTCGAAGAAGACTCCCTCTTGAGATGGTTCGTCGAATTGGATGACGCCATAAGGGCGCGTCGCATCGACGACGGGGATATGCAAGTTGCATTTGCCCAATCAAATCTGGCAGGACGTGCCAAGACTTGGGCACTGGGGCTCAAGCTGCACGACCCATATGCGTTTGGGTCGTTGGAAGTCTTCAAGTCGCGGCTCAGACAAACGTTTGAACCGCCTAGAGCTGAGTTCAGAGCTCGAACCGAACTCTTGAAGCTCAAGCAGGGTAAGCGTGATGTGCACGCTTACGCGCAACATATACGACATCTTACGAGTTGTATAAGTTCCAATCCGGTGGATGAACACACGTTGGTTTCGGTGTTCATGCAGGGTCTTGCGGATGGTCCCGTCAAGACTCACCTGTTCCGGCTTGAACTAGATTCCCTAGAACAACCCATTTCCATTGCGGAACAGGAAGACTTCAGTCTGAGACAGGCTCGCGCCAGCTCGACATCATATCGTCAACCGAGACGATATGACAACGGAGGTCCAGAGCCGATGGAACTCTGTTATGTAGAGAGCGAGAAGGCTCGCTCTACAGGCTACAAGAAGTTGCAGAGATGCAACAGATGTCAAAAGACAGGACACTACGCTTACGAGTGTAGTGCCCCTCGTCCAGTGTCTCGCGACACTGGGCGTAGTGACCGTCCACCCATGAGAAAGGGGCAGGGACGAGGGTCCGCAGTTGGTGCAAAGACGCAACAACGGGATGGACCGTCAAAAAACGGACAGGATCAGTAGGTGCGGAGCACCCTACTGATCCAGCAACGTCAAGAGAATTTGTAGGCCTCTTGATGAAGGTTGCTCCCAACACACAGACATTGTGCGTTGCTGCTCTAGGTAATGAGATCTCACTCATTACCTTGAAACTCGAAGTGACGAATAAGTTGTCCCTTCGAGCTCTAGTCGATTGTGGGGCGTCCAACAATTTTGTGCGACGCCAATCGCTAGAAGATGGTCACTTTAAATTCAGTGAATGTGACACACCTCCTACGAGGATGACGGTACGTCTTGCGACAGGCGCATCCGTAATCAATCATGAAGCGTATAGTGAAGATTCACTATACGCTAGAAGATACCCAATACGACGATGACTTTATCGTATTGGATTTGGATGACAAATTTGATGTCATCCTTGGAATACCGTGGCTCAGAAGGTACGAACCACGGGTAAACTGGCAACATCGGACAGTAACGATGCCTGCCGCTTGTTCATCAGATGGCCATCTGATGAACGTTTTGGAGCGTCCACAAGCGTGTGGATGTACTACGAGTGAGTGCGATGGCCTCACTTGTGGTACGGTCGTTAGTACGACTGCACAAAACCTTAGTGTACCAAACGGTTACACTTCGGAGCAAAGTTCCGGCGGCTGTGAGGAAACACAGGCTGCGCCGAAGGTCCACCACTCGAATAAGTCGGGTGGACTGGGACAAAGATGTATCCCTAGAGGGGAACATCTAGAAGAGAAACAATCGATCGCTCAGGTTAAGCGAAACGATAATCCTAGATCGACTGGAGAGTCTTTCGTAGAGGATCTCGCTGTGGTTGCGCAACCCCAGCTAGAGGAAGTAAAGGGAATAAGTCCCAAGATTACAAATACGGCGGAAATAAGTTCCCCGAAACCCGCGGGAATAAGTCCCCGGGAAGACGAAGGAATAAGTCCTTCGAAGCCTGAGGGAATAAGTCCCCAGGAAATGACAGAGACATTGAATGTCATAGTCAATAACGGATCATGTGTAGGCGCTTATACACTTGATCTGATTGCGCCTCCGAAGTTAACTTCGGAGATCACTCAGTTGCCAACGCTCGAACATAAAAGATTCTTGCGTGATCTGCGTAGTGGCAAAGTCAAGCAGATCTGCATACTCGTCGCTGAAGACGAGTATGTAACCGACATAAGGTCAGCAACAGTGTTTACTGAGAACGAGAGAGTTCTCAGTAGTTCATCTATGGACGAGAGTGTCCTTGTAACGGGGCACCCTGAAGCTTGTACTGGTGACAGTACAAGCTACTTATTCTGATAACAGAATAAGGCGGTGCCTCGTAACTTCACGTACACTCGTACGTGCAGAGGAAGACGGTAAGAAGAAGCGAGTACTCGGTTAGAGTAAAAAGTAGAACTGTATTTATAATAGTTAATGTCTGCAATAAATCACTATTTATCTTCATCTAACTATGTCTAAATACAAATGTGTAAATCAGTTATCTGCTCACCACTCATTGCGTGCGTCTGTCGTGGCAGCGTCTTCGTTGGTTGATATAATGGCCTATATCAACCAATTAGGAACTACTTGGAAGTGCTACAGAATATTGTCCTTATGACAATATTCTGAGAATATAACTCTTATAGTTATATTCTATTAACAATTTCTTATAAATTGTTATGTAACGATTCACCCCGTTACATCACTCCCCTAACCATCAGTCACTTTAGTGACTGATTGACTAAATGGATACTCGTCCCAAATCATTTGGGACGGGGTTTGCACTTGTTGGTCCGCGTCCACTTTCCAACATCTCATCGCATGGTAAACAAGCCCATGCGATGCGCGAGCAAGGCCGCCGAGAGCGCGTCTGCACGTCTCTGTGCGGACGCCGAAGCAGAAACTACAGCAACTGATATCCCATCGGTTGCTGAATCGACTCAGCCTGTATCACCTGGTGATGCAGGCGCTGGTCATGAAGACACTCGTGTCTTCACAGAGTACGAGCTCGGTGTCTCGTACTCTCCTGATACGGATGACGGATCCGTATCGACGGCAATTGAATCCAAGCCGCCTGCCAAGCGTGGCATGGACGATGCTTTGCGTCGCAGCATCTTTGGTTCATCTGATGAGTCAGATGAACCATCGCCGAAGCGAAGGCGCTCGAGGTCGCGAGACTCGGGCGCTAATAGTGGTGTCGTTTCTCCAATGGACACCACTTCACAGCGAGGTGCCAGTACTTCTGTCGGCACGTCGCAGGAAGAGCGGGACCGCAATGTGTTGCGTCTCGCTCCAGAAAAGAAGGCATGGATGCCTCCTAAATTCGTCATGGATCACTTGTCGGCGACGACGAGTGATCGTTATCGAACACGATTGTTCGATTCGTCAAGGATCCATCACTTGACCCCAGCGCGAAAGACTATCGCGCTGAACATGAGTTCTTCATCGATGCTTTCTTCAGACATCGATGGTACAGTGGGAATCACAAACGTGATGGTCCCTCACTACTTCAGGCGTGGAACGCCTACATCCATAATCTCGAGGATGTAGGTCGTGACGCTTGGAACGACAAACTTATCAAAGCTCGTGATAAGTTTGAAAAGCGAACCCCGACAGGTGCACGCTATAAGCTGCATCGTCTGTCAAGGGAGAAAGGATTACCCTGCCTCTCTTGGGGAGACTCGTGCCCATGTTGTGTGAACAACTCTGCACGAGCACCTAAGGAGGCTTACCTCCTTACCAGCCCGTGGTGGCGCGTACGTGTCTCTACTGAGATGTACGAAGGGATTGACAACCTGAAATCCCTTTACGACCGTGCCGGGAAGACTTTCTCCGGCGGTCCTTCTGCGGCACAGGATGTGTCGCGTCGTACTGCTCGACCAGACCCAGTACGTCAACCATCAATTGGGAGCGGGGCTCCCAAGAATCCCAGGACGGGGGATAGGCCGCGCCACCGGACGAGGTAACTCGTCCGACGTCCGTTCACGTCGCGGTGGTTCAACAGCTGCTCAACTAGATAGCGCTGGCCACCGCGAGAGTCCTCTAATGGAGGTGGAGGAGGAGGAAAGACGCTCTCCACACGATCATGTGGATCGGTGTGTTCCCGAGAGCTTTTTGATCGCGTAACGCAAGGGTTACGCGACGATCTCGAGCATGAGCGGAATAGGCGTCTCCAGATGGTGGACACTGCCTCGAAGCATCGAGCTGAGTTTGCCTTTGCTCAGCTTGAGAACGAGAGATCTCTGACATCTCTTCGTGACGAGCTAAGGGTAGCTCGTGGGATTGTTGATCGGTCTCGGGCTGAGATAACTGCTCTTCAGACCCTTGTTGATGCCCACCATCGGGAGCACAAGGCTCTCTGCGAGATGCTTGAGCGCAAGGGCGTTCTTCATCGGAAGAAGCAGCGTACTGATGGTACGGCTTAAGCCGACCAACGTAAAACGTGGGATGCGTTCGCATCTTACGTGGTAACTCGATCGTGTATGCATTGCCTAGGCGGTGCAATACACGAAATGGGCCAATGTACTTGGGTAGTAGTTTACTGCTACCCAAGTTAGTCACTACATGTTTTGGTAGATTAACCGTAGACAGTAGGACTAAGTCACCTTTATTAAATAAAAGAGTGTTTGCCCTTCCATTCTTGTCAGCGTTTTGCTTTTGCTTATCCACCGCTTCGGCGATGGAGTCTTGCACAAAACGGACTACCGTTTCACGAGCCAGTATGAACTCATCTGATGACTCGTTAGCTTCAGTGTGCTGTGAGCGCACTGCAGCAACAACAACCTTTTCTTCAGTGAGGGCTTCCGCACTCTCACTGGGATCATTGTCTTCAGTGAGGGCTTCCGCACTCTCACTGGCATCATCTTCTTCGATATCGATGTTATCGATATCGGCATCAAACGCAATGACTTCCTCGTCAGAGCGTGATGAGCGTGAACCAAATCGGTTTTTGCTCGCGCGAGTCCCTCCCCTTTAAACCAGAGTTACACTCTAGTAAGGTGGGTACACGCGGATGGCGCAAGCCATTCACGTAAAACGGTGTATGTGTCGTGGACGCATGCACCGAGTTGTTGATGGCAAACTCTACCATCGGCAAAAACTCACTCCAACTCTTAAAGGAGTGTACGTATCCTCGAAGTATCTCTTCAAGGACACGATTGGCACGTTCCGTCTGACCATCTGACTCTGGATGATCAGATGTTGACATCTCCAAGCGCGTTCCGAGTGATTTGAACACGGAACGCCAGAAATCAGCAGTGAATCGTGGATCTCTGTCTGATACGAGTTCACGGGGCAACCCATGAAGTCGGAAGATGGTGTCAATAAAGACACAAGCACAGCCACTTGCCGTGATTGTCTCTGGTACAGCCACAAGGTGTACCATTTTGCTGAATCTGTCAACAAATACGAGAATACCTGTATTCCCGCGTGCGTCTTTGGGTAACCTGAAGACGAAATCCATTGAGATGGATTCCCAGCACTCAGCCGGAACCGGTAGAGGCTGTAAAGGTGCACGCAGTGAAGGACTTGACTTCACTCGTTGGCAGACTTCGCATGCGCGAACATACTTTCGCACAAACTGATACTGGCGGGGCCAGTAAAAGTCTCGACTTACCGTGAGATATGTTTTCTCTCGGCCACGATGTCCTCCTATAGGAGCATCGTGATATCTCGAACATGATCCGCAAACGCAGATCAGTATCATCTGGAATGACAACACGTGGTGTGTCACCAGAAACGGCTGTATAATACAGTAAACCGTTACGAGTAGTGTATCGATCTGATGCAGATCGATACGCAGACGACAATCGTTTCAACGATTCTCGAGATGGTTGGGAGAGATGTGACAACAACTTCACTATCTCACCATCTTGGGCGTATGCCCGCCTCACATCATCATACAACGTTGTAGATGGAACTGAGGACGTCATAACCGCAACAGTGACTGTCTCACTGTTGGGTTTCGCGACTGTTTCAAAGTCGGGACGACGTGAGAGTGCATCAGCGACGACATTAAGTCGTCCTGGTTTGTACTCGACCGTAAAGTTGTATTCTGCAAAGAATGACAACCACCGCGCCATTCGTTGTGAAAGGTGTGGGCTGTTCACTGCCGTGCGTAAGGACGCATGGTCAGTGTAAACAACGAAGGGTCTATCTCCTAATAGATAGACTCTGAACTTCGCGAGTGCATACTTCATGGCAAGGAGTTCCTTGTCATGCACTGGATAGTTCCGCTCAGCTGGTTGCAGCTGACGCGACTGATAGCAGACGACGCGTTCAACGCCTTCAAGGTCGTACTGCATTAATGCACAGCCGATTGCGAAATCGCTGGCATCACAGACCACATGAAATGGCCTGTCCTGATCGGCTATTGCTAGGACTGGGGATTGTATCAAGCTCTGCTTGATACCCTCAAAGGAGCGTTGACATTCAGCGTTCCATAACCACCTCTCGTTCTTTTTCAACAAACGAGAGAGGTGTACAGTCATCTCGGCGTAATTGCGTGAATACTTATGCAAATACGCCGCTAGCCCAAGGAATTTTCGAAGACCTTTGACATCGACCGGCACAGGCCAGTCGGTGATCGCCTTGATCTTTTTCGGGATCAGGACGTACACCGTTCTTACTAACGATGCACCCAAGAAGTGGTATTTCGCTTGCTGCAAATATACACTTCTTGAGGTTTGCATACAATTGATGCTTTCGCATGATTGTAAGAACTTGTCGGACGTGGTACCTGTGAACCTCAACGTCCGACTTTCCATCCATAGCTCGACTATGGATGAATACGTCATCGAAATAACTCGGCGCGAATTCTCGTACTGGCCTCAACAGATGTGATACACACCTGTTGAACGTGGCAGGGGCATTACTGAGCCCTTGTGGCATTACTAGCCATTCCCAGAGCATGCCGCTAGGCGTGCTAACTGCGGTATAGGGTATATCCTGTTCCCGCATTAGGATTTGATAGAAGCCATCCATCAAATCCATGGACGAAAAGATGGTACTCTTTGACATACCATCAATGATTACGTCCTTCCTCGGTATCGGCGTCTGAGCCGGTACCGTTGCAGCGTTCAATTTGTTGAACGCGTGCACTATCCGCCACCCTCCTGTTGCTTTTCGCACACAGAAGGTCGGAGAGCTATGTGGGGAAGTTGATTCCCTCACATGGCCCGCTGCTAAACGATCGGCAAAGAACTTGTCGATCGCAAGTACTTGTTCACGAGGCAGTGGCCACTGCTTCATGACACAGTACTTCGAGCCTGGTTTAAGCTCGACTTCGTGTCGAATACCTTTATCCTTCGGTAATTCGCACGGAACAGTTTCAGGGAATACATCCTTGAATTCAACCAAATCCTCATAGAGAGGGTTTTCCTTGAGCGATTCCCATGATTGGGACTCATATCGCTCAATTCGTGTCTTTTCATCTAGGACACTCTCGTCCATAGATGAACTACTGAGAACTCTCTCGTTCTCAGTAAACACTGTTGCTGACCTTATGTCGGTTACACACTCGTCGTCAGCGACGAGTATGCAGATCTGCTTGACTTTGCCACTACGCAGATCACGCAAGAACCTTTTATGTTCGAGCGTTGGCAACTGAGTGATCTCCGAAGTTAACTTCGGAGGCGCAATCAGATCAAGTGTATAAGCGCCTACACATGATCCGTTATTGACTATGACATTCAATGTCTCTGTCATTTCCTGGGGACTTATTCCCTCAGGCTTCGAAGGACTTATTCCTTCGTCTTCCCGGGGACTTATTCCCGCGGGTTTCGGGGAACTTATTTCCGCCGTATTTGTAATCTTGGGACTTATTCCCTTTACTTCCTCTAGCTGGGGTTGCGCAACCACAGCGAGATCCTCTACGAAAGACTCTCCAGTCGATCTAGGATTATCGTTTCGCTTAACCTGAGCGATCGATTGTTTCTCTTCTAGATGTTCCCCTCTAGGGATACATCTTTGTCCCAGTCCACCCGACTTATTCGAGTGGTGGACCTTCGGCGCAGCCTGTGTTTCCTCACAGCCGCCGGAACTTTGCTCCGAAGTGTAACCGTTTGGTACACTAAGGTTTTGTGCAGTCGTACTAACGACCGTACCACAAGTGAGGCCATCGCACTCACTGTAGTACATCCACACGCTTGTGGACGCCTAAAACGTTCATCAGATGGCCATCTGATGAACAAGCGGCAGGCATCGTTACTGTCCGATGTTGCCAGTTTACCCGTGGTTCGTACCTTCTGAGCCACGGTATTCCAAGGATGACATCAAATTTGTCATCCAAATCCAATACGATAAAGTCATCGTCGTATTGGGTATCTTCTAGCGTATAGTGAATCTTCACTATACGCTTCATGACGGTTACGGATGCGCCTGTCGCAAGACGTACCGTCATCCTCGTAGGAGGTGTGTCACATTCACTGAATTTAAAGTGACCATCTTCTAGCGATTGGCGTCGCACAAAATTGTTGGACGCCCCACAATCGACTAGAGCTCGAAGGGACAACTTATTCGTCACTTCGAGTTTCAAGGTAATGAGTGAGATCTCATTACCTAGAGCAGCAACGCACAATGTCTGTGTGTTGGGAGCAACCTTCATCAAGAGGCCTACAAATTCTCTTGACGTTGCTGGATCAGTAGGGTGCTCCGCACCTACTGATCCTGTCCGTTTTTTGACGGTCCATCCCGTTGTTGCGTCTTTTGCACCAACTGCGGACCCTCGTCCCTGCCCCTTTCTCATGGGTGGATTCGGTCACTACGCCCAGTGTCGCGAGACACTGGACGAGGGGCACTACACTCGTAAGCGTAGTGTCCTGTCTTTTTGACATCTGTTGCATCTCTGCAACTTCTTGTAGCCTGTAGAGCGAACCTTCTCGCTCTCTACATAACAGAGTTCCATCGGCTCTGGACCTCTCGCTGTCATATCGTCTCGGTTGACGATATGATGTCGAGCTGGCGCGAGCCTGTCTCAGACTGAAGTCTTCCTGCTCCGCAATGGAAATGGCTTGTTCTAGTGAATCTAGTTCAAGCCGGAACAGGTGAGTCTTGACGGGACCATCCGCAAGACCCTGCATGAACACCGAAACCAACGTGTGTTCATCCACTGGATTGGAACTTATACAACTCGTAAGATGTCGTATATGTTGAGCGTAAGCGTGCACATCACGCTTACCCTGCTTGAGCTTCAAGAGTTCGGTTCGAGCCCTGAACTCAGCTCTAGGCGGTTCAAACGTTTGTCTGAGCCGCGACTTGAAGACTTCCAACGACCCAAACGCATATGGGTCGTGCAGCTTGAGCCCCAGTGCCCAAGTCTTGGCACGTCCTGCCAGATTTGACTGGGCAAATGCAACTTGCATATCCCCGTCGTCGATGCGACGCGCCCTTATGGCGTCATCCACCTGACGAACCATCTCAAGAGGGAGTCTTCTTCGACCCCCTATACTTTGAGATGTCAATCTTCAAAGTCTCGGGCCGACGCGAGTGCATCGACCCGCCAGCAGCAGCCTGCTGCTGTCTCAACAGTTCAAACTGTTGAGCACCTTGTTCTCTCAACAACTCTGCTTGTTGAGAACCTTGTTGGTGAAGCAAGGCTACTTTCTCGCGTTCTGCGTCAAGTTCATTTTGAATGAACTTGGCGATAGTAGCATGTTGGGCATCTCTATTGAGAGCCTCTAGCATGACGCTAACAGCATGGATGCCCATGGTCGAACCCATTCGTTCAACCGCATCCCATTCGACATCGCTCAAATGGGAGTAGCCGTCACGCGTAGCGTGAAAGCTTTGGTCATCTTTCATCATCCAACATATTCATGTTGGATGTGAACGCGGTCCTTGGACGGACTACGAAGTGCTACCAGGTGTAACGGGGCACCCTGAAGCTTGTACTGGTGACAGTACAAGCTACTTATTCTGATAACAGAATAAGGCGGTGCCTCGTAACTTCACGTACACTCGTACGTGCAGAGGAAGACGGTAAGAAGAAGCGAGTACTCGGTTAGAGTAAAAGTAGAACTGTATTTATAATAGTTAATGTCTGCAATAAATCACTATTTATCTTCATCTAACTATGTCTAAATACAAATGTGTAAATCAGTTATCTGCTCACCACTCATTGCGTGCGTCTGTCGTGGCGCGTCTTCGTTGGTTGATATAATGGCCTATATCAACCAATTAGGAACTACTTGGAAGTGCTACAGAATATTGTCCTTATGACAATATTCTGAGAATATAACTCTTATAGTTATATTCTATTAACAATTTCTTATAAATTGTTATGTAACGATTCACCCCGTTACAGTCCTAGATGAAAAGACACGAATTGAGCGATATGAGTCCCAATCATGGGAATCGCTCAAGGAAAATCCTCTCTATGAAGATTTGGTTGAATTCAAGGATGTATAATCTGAAACTGTTCCGTGCGAATTACCGAAGGATAAAGGTATTCGACACGAAGTCGAGCTTAAACCAGGCTCGAAGTACTGTGTCATGAAGCAGTGGCCACTGCCTCGTGAACAAGTACTTGCGATCGACAAGTTCTTTGCCGATCGTTTAGCAGCGGGCCATGTGAGGGAATCAACTTCCCCACATAGCTCTCCGACCTTCTGTGTGCGAAAAGCAACAGGAGGGTGGCGGATAGTGCACGCGTTTAACAAATTGAACGCTGCAACGGTACCGGCTCAGACGCCGATACCGAGGAAGGACGTAATCATTGATGGTATGTCAAAGAGTACCATCTTTTCGTCCATGGATTTGATGGATGGTTTCTATCAAATCCTTATGCGGGAACGGGATATACCCTATACCGCAGTTAGCACGCCTAGCGGCATGCTCTGGGAATGGCTAGTAATGCCACAAGGGCTCAGTAATGCCCCTGCCACGTTCAACAGGTGTGTATCACATCTGTTGAGGCCAGTACGAGAATTCGCGCCGAGTTATTTCGATGACGTATTCATCCATAGTCGAGCTATGGATGGAAAGTCGGACGTTGAGGTTCACAAGTACCACGTCCGACAAGTTCTTACAATCATGCGAAAGCATCAATTGTATGCAAACCTCAAGAAGTGTATATTTGCAGCAAGCGAAATACCACTTCTTGGGTGCATCGTTGGTAAGAACGGTGTACGTCCTGATCCCGAAAAGATCAAGGCGATCACCGACTGGCCTGTGCCGGTCGATGTCAAAGGTCTTCGAAAATTCCTTGAGCTAGCGGCGTATTTGCATAAGTATTCACGCAATTACGCCGAGATGACTGTACACCTCTCTCGTTTGTTGAAAAAGAACGAGAGGTGGTTATGGAACGCTGAATGTCAACGCTCCTTTGAGGGTATCAAGCAGAGCTTGATACAATCCCCAGTCCTAGCAATAGCCGATCAGGACAGGCCATTTCATGTGGTCTGTGATGCCAGCGATTTCGCAATCGGCTGTGCATTAATGCAGTACGACCTTGAAGGCGTTGAACGCGTCGTCTGCTATCAGTCGCGTCAGCTGCAACCAGCTGAGCGGAACTATCCAGTGCATGACAAGGAACTCCTTGCCATGAAGTATGCACTCGCGAAGTTCAGAGTCTATCTATTAGGAGATAGACCCTTCGTTGTTTACACTGACCATGCGTCCTTACGCACGGCAGTGAACAGCCCGCACCTTTCACAACGAATGGCGCGGTGGTTGTCATTCTTTGCAGAATACAACTTTACGGTCGAGTACAAACCAGGACGACTTAATGTCGTCGCTGATGCACTCTCACGTCGTCCCGACTTTGAAACAGTCGCGAAACCCAACAGTGAGACAGTCACTGTTGCGGTTATGACGTCCTCAGTTCCATCTACAACGTTGTATGATGATGTGAGGCGGGCATACGCCCAAGATGGTGAGATAGTGAAGTTGTTGTCACATCTCTCCCAACCATCTCGAGAATCGTTGAAACGATTGTCGTCTGCGTATCGATCTGCATCAGATCGATACACTGCTCGTAACGGTTTACTGTACTATACAGCCGTTTCTGGTGACACACCACGTGTTGTCATTCCAGATGATATTGATCTGCGTTTGCGGATCATGTTCGAGTATCACGATGCTCCTATAGGAGGACATCGTGGCCGAGAGAAAACATATCTCACGGTAAGTCGAGACTTTTACTGGCCCCGCCAGTATCAGTTTGTGCGAAAGTATGTTCGCGCATGCGAAGTCTGCCAACGAGTGAAGTCAAGTCCTTCACTGCGTGCACCTTTACAGCCTCTACCGGTTCCGGCTGAGTGCTGGGAATCCATCTCAATGGATTTCGTCTTCGGGTTACCCAAAGACGCACGCGGGAATACGGGTATCCTCGTATTTGTTGACAGATTCAGCAAAATGGTACACCTTGTGGCTGTACCAGAGACAATCACAGCAAGTGGCTGTGCTTGTGTCTTTATTGACACCATCTTCCGACTTCATGGGTTGCCCCGTGAACTCGTATCAGACAGAAATCCACGATTCACTGCTGATTTCTCGCGTTCTGTGTTCAAATCACTCGGAACGCGCTTGAAGATGTCGACATCTGATCATCCAGAGTCAGATGGTCAGACGGAACGTGCCAATCGTGTCCTTGAAGAGATACTTCGAGGATACGTACACTCCTTTAAGGGTTGGAGTGAGTTCTTGCCACTGGTAGAGTTTGCCATTAACAACTCCGTGCATGCGTCCACGACACATACACCGTTTTACGTGAATGGCTTGCGCAATCCGCGTGTACCCACCTTACTAGAGTGTAACTCTGGTTTAAGGGGGGGAGGGACTCGCGCGAGCAAAAAACCGATTTGGTTCACGCTCATCACGCTCTGACGAAGAAGTCATTGCGTTTGATGCCGATATCGATAACATCGATATCGAAGAAGATGATGCCAGTGAGAGTGCGGAAGCCCTCACTGAAGACAATGATCCCAGTGAGAGTGCGGAAGCCCTCACTGAAGAAAAGGTTGTTGTTGCTGCAGTGCGCTCACAGCACACTGAAGCTAACGAGTCATCAGATGAGTTCATACTGGCTCGTGAAACGGTAGTCCGTTTTGTGCAAGACTCCATCGCCGAAGCGGTGGATAAGCAAAAGCAAAACGCTGACAAGAATGGAAGGGCAAACATTTTTTTATTTAATAAAGGTGACTTAGTCCTACTGTCTACGGTTAATCTACCAAAACATGTAGTGACTAACTTGGGTAGCAGTAAACTACTACCCAAGTACATTGGCCCATTTCGTGTATTGCACCGCCTAGGCAATGCATACACGATCGAGTTACCACGTAAGATGCGAACGCATCCCACGTTTTACGTTGGTCGGCTTAAGCCGTACCATCAGTACGCTGCTTCTTCCGATGAAGAACGCCCTTGCGCTCAAGCATCTCGCAGAGAGCCTTGTGCTCCCGATGGTGGGCATCAACAAGGGTCTGAAGAGCAGTTATCTCAGCCCGAGACCGATCAACAATCCCACGAGCTACCCTTAGCTCGTCACGAAGAGATGTCAGAGATCTCTCGTTCTCAAGCTGAGCAAAGGCAAACTCAGCTCGATGCTTCGAGGCAGTGTCCACCATCTGGAGACGCCTATTCCGCTCATGCTCGAGATCGTCGCGTAACCCTTGCGTTACGCGATCAAAGAAGCTCGGGAACACACCGATCCACATGATCGTGTGGAGAGCGTCTTTCCTCCTCCTCCACCTCCATTAGAGGACTCTCGCGGTGGCCAGCGCTATCTAGTTGAGCAGCTGTTGAACCACCGCGACGTGAACGGACGTCGGACGAGTTACCTCGTCCGGTGGCGCGGCTATCCCCCGTCCTGGGATTCTTGGGAGCCCCGCTCCCAATTGATGGTTGACGTACTGGGTCTGGTCGAGCAGTACGACGCGACACATCCTGTGCCGCAGAAGGACCGCCGGAGAAAGTCTTCCCGGCACGGTCGTAAAGGGATTTCAGGTTGTCAATCCCTTCGTACATCTCAGTAGAGACACGTACGCGCCACCACGGGCTGGTAAGGAGGTAAGCCTCCTTAGGTGCTCGTGCAGAGTTGTTCACACAACATGGGCACGAGTCTCCCCAAGAGAGGCAGGGTAATCCTTTCTCCCTTGACAGACGATGCAGCTTGTAGCGTGCACCTGTCGGGGTTCGCTTTTCAAACTTATCACGAGCTTTGATAAGTTTGTCGTTCCAAGCGTCACGACCTACATCCTCAAGGTTATGGATGTAGGCGTTCCACGCTTGAAGTAGTGAGGGACCATCACGCTTGTGATTCCCACTGTACCATCGATGTCTAAAGAAAGCATCGATGAAGAATTCATTTACAGCGCGATAGTTTTTCGCGCTGGGGTCAAGGTGATGGATCCTTGACGAATCGAACAATCGTGTTCGATAACGATCACTCGCCGTCGCCGACAAGTGATCCATGACTGATTTAGGAGGCATCCATGCCTTCTTCTCAGGAGCGAGACGCAACACATTGCGGTCCCGCTCTTCCTGCGACGTGCCGACAGAAGTACTGGCACCTCGCTGTGAAGTGGTGTCCATTGGAGAAACGACACCACTATTAGCGCCCGAGTCTCGCGACCTCGAGCGCCTTCGCTTCGGCGATGGTTCATCTGACTCATCAGATGAACCAAAGATGCTGCGACGCAAAGCATCGTCCATGCCACGCTTGGCAGGCGGCTTGGATTCAATTGCCGTCGATACGGATCCGTCATCCG